TAGGGTAGACAGAAGATTCACTAGAAATTATAGAGTACAGGGTAGAGGGTAGAGTATACAATGGAAGGTAGACGGTAGAGGGTAGAAAGTAGACGGTAAAGGGTGGAGTACCTAACTGTGATAGCAACTAAATAATTCAAGCTGAAATTTGCAGGCGATCAATGACGTCCAATACTCCCACGAGCGGTCCCCAAGCGGTGAGGAGTTTGGTCACAAGCGGTCCCCAAGCGGTGAGGAGTTTGGTCACAAGCGGTCCCCAAGCGGTCAGGAGTTTTTCTAAAAAATGACCACTGCCCACCTCATCTACCACTGGGACTCCACCTACCGCTGCTCCACCTCATCTACCCTTTGGTGAAATCCACCTACCACCCGCTCCACCTCATCTAAACCACTGGTGACTCCACCTACCACTGCTTCCACCTAAACTACCACTTGGACTCCACCTACCACTGCTGCACCTCATCTACCAATGGTGACTCAACCTACCACTGCTGCACCTCATCTACCACTGGTGACTCCACTACCACTGCTCCACCTCATCTACCACTGGTGACTCCACCTACCACGCTCCACCTCATCTACCACTAGTGACTCCACCTACCACTGCGCACCTCATCTACCACTGGTGACTCCACCTACCATGCCAGCACCCCATCTACCACTAGTGACTCCACCTACCATGCTCCACCTCTCTACCACTATGACTCCACCTACCACTGCTCCACCTCATCTACCACTAGTGACTCCACCTACCACTGGGTGCACCTCATCTACCACTGGTGACTCCACCTACCACTGCTGAAACCCCATCTACCACTAGTGACTCCACCTACCACGCTCCCCCCTCATCTACCATAGTGACTCCACCTACCACTGCTCCACCTCATCTACCATGGTTGGACTCCCCTACCACTGCTCCACCTCATCTACCACTGGTGACTCCACCTACCACTGCTCCACCTCATCTACCACTGGTGACTCCACCTACCACTGCTCCAAACCCCATCTACCACTAGTGACTCCACCTACCCCTGCGCACCTCATTACCACTGGTGACTCCACCTACCACTGCTGCAAATCATCTACCCCTGGTGACTCCACCTACACTGCTCCACCTCATCTACCACTGGTGACTCCACCTACCACTGCTCCACCTCATCTACCACTAGTGACTCCACCTACCACTGCTGCACCTCATCTACCACTGGTGACTCCACATACCACTGCTGCACCTCATCTACCACCACTATTAGTTCCATCACCCTGTGCACCTTTACCAAAACTGATGGATGAACACAACACCTCAGTCAGATCGTAATCTTGCACCAGATGATGATGCTGGAAACATTGTTCCAGGAATAAAGAGTCCAAGTCTTAGTAAGTGTCTTATTCATCACAAAAATTTGGCACCAGTAATACAACATTTTGATACAAACCCGTAATACAACATGTCGACCCATTGATAAAAAATGTCGACACACTAGTAACACAACATGTCGACACACCAATAATTCAACATGTCGACCCATTGATAATACATGTCGACACATCAGTAATACATCATCTGACACCAGTAATAATCTTATGTTGACACCTAGTAGTATGTCTTTGACAACGTTTCGCACCACTTGTAACTCAGTTAAATACAGAGGTAATTTGCAGGTGTGGAAGGAGACGAATGAGATTAATGAGTCAGTCCCTGAGCCTGGCAACAGGTGTTCAGAATCTTATTCACAATTTTATGTTATAAACACCTGCCCCGAGGGTGAGGGACTAATAGCGTCATCTCTTACCGTCTCCTCCTTCAACACCTCCAAACATACCCCGCTGTTACACATTTCCACCCCAAGGTCGTTCAAAACAGTGTTTGCTAAGAAATTTACAAGAACAGGACTGCATGCCAAGACAGAATGCAGGTGGGGTTAGAACTCCAGGCCAGCGGTTGAAACCTGATCCGTTCCTTAGCTTGTCTACAACCGTGTTATTATTGTTTCGTGAGTCAACACTTCAAGATATGAAGATTAACTCTAGAAAACATAACATAGCAGATAAATACGCGCACACATGCCAACACACAACACACAACACACACACTAGGTGAGTACACACGCACAAATCCCCAGGTCCTGATGAACTGTGTGCTAGGGTGTTAAAGGAATGTAAAGAGGAACTTAGCATACCTTTGGCTAATCTTTTTAATATATCACTACAAACTGGCATAGTGCCTGATAAGTGGAAAATGGCAAATGTAATACCTATTTATAAGGCAGGTGACAGGTCCTTGGCTTCGAACTATAGACCAATAAGCCTTACCTCCATAGTGGGAAAATTTATGGAATCAATAATTGCCGAAGCAATTCGTAGCCATCTTGACAGGAACAGATTGATTAATGAATCCAACACAGTTTTACAAAGGGGGGTTCCTGTCTTACGAATTTACTAACTTTTTTTTCACTAAGGTGTTTGAGGAGGTAGATCATGGTAATGATAATATTGTGATATGGACTTCATAAGGTTTCGATAGAGTTTTCCCCATCAAGGGTATTGAGGAAACTTAAGCCACGGGTAGGAGGGGAAATTTTTTCCTGGTAAGGGATGGGTGACAAAATAGAACAAAAGGG